AAGCAAGTTATAACACAAACACCAAATGCTCAGGACATTATTGATGAAAGTTAATAAATTCCTACAGTTAGCTTCAAGATTCTTATAACAAAACTGAATTATCACATTCATTATAGAACCTTGGGACAACATTTTTCACTGATAGGTACACACTAGACCACACCAACTCACTTTATTGAGTTTCTATTACAGTAAACAGAGATTAAGATAGGCAAAAATCATTTACAACATGTGAATTAGGTGTGAACTTTGGCTTGAAAGAAAACTAACTTCTATGACACCCCACACAATTCTGGCTGCAGAGAAAATCATAAAAAAATCTGTCAAACATATTACCAGTTTTAGAAATTATATCATTGTTCTGGCATTGATTCAGTAAATAACTAGACTAATTCCACAGAGCAGAATCCAAACCTTCTTGAGAAACTAATAATCACTCAGCTACCCAAGAAATTCCACACTTTTTAAAGAACATGAAAGCTCATTACAGTGTTCAAAGAACCTGCCACTGATTCCTTTCCTGAGAAAGATGAATCCAAAGAACACCCTCACATTTTAATATTATCCTTTTATCTAAGCCTAGGGATCCCAAATGGTTATGTCCTTCAGATTTTCTGCTGAATTTTGTATGAATTTCAATGTATTCAACATGTAAATTACAACTGAACAAACTACCTAGCTCATTTTTAAATGGATATTATGAACCTTTGGTAGTTGATGTAATAGCATTTAATTCAACAAATTTGTATCAGATATTAAATGTTATGTGAAAATATGACTTCAATACACAGGTACTCATGAGTAATACTTTCTCTGTGACAAGAAATCTGTATCACAATCTTTTCTTTTTCCTACAAATCAAAGCAAAATACAATTAACTATGCCAATAATAAAAACAAGTTTCATGATGTGCTACTCACCTAGGTTATATCCAATATGGAATTTTGTTCCTGGTTATCATATTTATATAGCTTCTGTTGTTTACTCTTGTTGCTATTTCCAACATGCTTACAGTTTTTGGCCTTGGTGAAAGTATGGAACAGATAAACAGTTAAGCACCATTCCATGTAGAGAGAGATACATGCTAAAAGCTATGTGATAGCTTCCTCATTCACAAACAAATCATTTCAACATTCTGAAGAATCTGAAAACAGGACAACTGCTCCTGTTTGACCCTCTTAGTGGTTTACCTGAAAAAGATGTGCTATCTATATTGCATCAAAACATTCGAAACAGAGCACCTTCCTTTCCTGTGTCAACTTTCCTTCATTTTCTTGACTCTAGGGCTTAAGTTCTATTACAGTATGTATTACATATATTGCAATACATTTTTGAGGTATCATATACTACATAAACTTCCAAACAATAAGTACCATGAATCACTAACAAAAATATAAATGAGAGTAGCTTGCAAATCCAAACTTCTTCAAACATATTAATGTGTGTTTATGTGTAAATAATTAAAATTATTTGAATATAGTACTGATAAAACTGACATTTAACTACATGTTATTAAATACATATTATTCACAACAGAGCATAATGCAATAATTAACAAATTTAGGCTTCATTAATGAAGAAAGATTTGTAAAGAACTGCACAATAAATCTAGATTGCTGTTGTTCCGTGCCTCTACAAGCCAGTTGTGGGTCTTCGCCACCTCCTTTTCGGAGCTTTCCTAGTCTTTTGAAGTGTGCATCTGTGACTAGTGAGTGACCAGCCCACTGACTCTGCACAATTTCTACTCAATCCTGATTTGTCTGCTAGAGCCATCTTGCAGTGAATCAGGAAGGACTTGGGTGAGAAATGGTGGCTGAATTTTGCTTACAAAACATCTCATCTCATAAGTAAATAAAGAAACTGATGAAATTCTAATTAAATTAAATTTTAATTTTGGTTGGAAATCCTTCTGGAAAATTACTACTGTGCAGACCAAGAAGGAGATGGGAGGATAATATCAAGATGGTTCTAAAGGAGGTAGGCTGTGAGGATAGAAAATGGATGGAGTTCGCTCAGGATCATGTCTGGTGGCAGGCTTTGGTGTTGGAACTGTGGGTTCAGCTACCAGGGAGTTAGTTACTTAGTTATACTTTCTACATACAAAATAAACTTTCTCTTACTGATATAATGTTGTTGCCACAATCAGTGACAGTGAGAGTAGTGAACAAGGGAAGGGGGAAAGGGGGTCAGTGCTATTAATATACAGAAGCACAAAAGATTATGGTACATCAAAGTTACCTGCATAAACACACACTCTGGCAATACTGATTTACAAGCACTTAGATACATTCCTATCAATACAAAATACATCAAATTATCCTTTGTTTCAATATTCTGAGGGTTATGTTTAAAATTCATCCAGGAATAAAAGTATACAATAAATTACCAAGTCAAATTAGGAAAGTGGATAAAATGAGTACATTCAAAAACGAGCTGAGGTCCTACCTATTACTACGTACATTTTATTCGATAGATGAATACATGTCATGTAAATCAGAAGAGTGTATTTGAGTAGGAGCATTTTATGAATTGTATTTCTATTGATAATATTGATAAAACTTGTAACATGTATTTGAAAGATGTATCCTATGTCAATGTTTTGACCAAGTAGGATGAATAAAATTGAATTGAATTGAATAGTAACTGGTTTGTAATCCAATTTCCTATTTTTCTTCTAACCAGATTTGTTCTATGGAAGATACTGTGTTCTAACCTCAGCCAGAGACTTGATTTCTGCGATCTTCCTCAGTTTCTCCAAGAAAATAAAAGGACAGTGCATAAACATTTTGACATATAATTGTGAACTAAACAATATTTATGATATTATAAGTAGGGTGGATCAGGTACTAATGTGAACAGTGTTAACCAAGTGTTGCAGATTAGTACATAACACTAATGAAAATACTGCAAATTATTTTTGTAATCCATAAGATCATCTATGTTCCTGATGATTATTTGCAGTTAACTTTATTTCAAGCTTCCCACTATCTCAACTGAATGTTGCCAATGACCCAAACTTCTGACCAGAAGGAAGAGCCATAAGGTAATTTCAATGACACAGGCATAATGAAGCAACACTCAGTGTGATCACTGTACAGACAACACTCATCAGATCTGAAGATTAAGAGGAACTGCATCATGACACTCTTGAGTACCGCCCTGATGATGGAGGCAGCGAGTACCTTTGAAACGTTACAAAACTTCTACTAGACTATACGGTGTTACAACGCAGAAGTTAACGGTCTACTTCCTCGCCGCCGTGAGAATCTGAAATCATACATAACTAACTGCAAAATTTCATAGCCAGTACCTTTTACGGTTGTTATACGTACAGAGGTACCACTAGTAAAAAGTGCAAGGAAAATCAATGTCATGTATCTTCCGCCACAGTTGTTCATACTATCTGTGGGCAGAACTATTCGTTATACCAACCATACATAACCTGGTTACGAACATACCATATCACCATGGTTGAAAACATGCATATCACAGAGTGCATAGCAGATTACAAAATATAATGTTACAAAATCATTGATCGACTACAGTTAAGACGGTTAATTCTAGCACATTTTTGCGCATTCTGAATAATTTTCCTTATATTTTAAAAATTTGAAAGGAAATGGCCGCAGTAACGCCATCTATAATGAGCGTCCAAGAAAGATAGCTCTGAGGACGTCGAAATTTGTAAATAAATTCAGCAGCGGTGTAATATAAAACTTAATTTAAAAATTTGTGTTGTTATTTACAATGCCACAGTAATATAAACTTTCGTTTATGGACGATATGGGAGATGAGAATTTATGTCGTCTTTGTGCTGTGAAGAAAGATTACTTTGTAGGAATTTATGATGATGAAGGCCACAAATTGAGCCTGGAAACAAAAATTACAAAATGTTTGCAGATAGAGGTTTGTAAGTTAGACATTTAATGTTTCTTTATCTTGCCTTTATTCTTAGTTGCAGTGAAAGATAAATAGTTCTAACCTAGGATATTGAAATTATAATTTGTGTCAGTGTCTATTATACCTGTAAGTAGATTATTGTTAGGGTAGCATTTTATATTGCTGCTATAGGTGATGATTGAAAATACTGGTTTTGTCCATTTCTTTATTTTAGACTTACTGGTGTACAACAGTTTAATTGTGAAGGAGATGATTTTGTTTCATGTGAAATTCTGTATTATGTTGTACAGGTTTTTATTTTGATATGTATGTTAACAAGTTTTGAATAATTGTATTGTTTTTTCTCTAATTAAATGTTTTGTTGCTACTGCTGAGAAATTCAACTCTGTTTCAGCTGTATCCCAAGGATTCACTGCCCAAGACAGTTTGTCTGGATTGCTGTGCTAAATTAGATCAGTTCTCCGACTTCTTTGAGACAACTTCACAAGCACAGGTTACACTTCATATGATTTATCCTGGTGCAAAGAAAGAAGAGGAGGTAGATATAGAGGAAGACAGACCTAAACCTGAGCATGAATCAGATCATGATTGCAGTTCATTCTTGGAAGAAGTAAGAGAGTACTTCTAAATTGTCACCCATTTTTTCATTTAAAATCGTGTGCAGTTACCACAGAATCTCAGTGGAAATATTTTACTTCTTGGATCATACATTGCTTTCTTCAAGAAGTTTTCTGAATGTGAGGTCCCTTCAGTCTTTGAATTTTTTTGGTATAGTACAAACTGCCCAAGCTGGAAACTGTAAGTAGAATTTGGACAGTTAGTGAATTATATATATTTTTTCACATTATAAATATGTGAGCCCAATGATTTAAGTCATGTATAAGGAATGTCTTGGAAATAAGCTAAACCCCTTACTTTAATAGTATTCCTCCTACCTCTTGGTTACAATATCCTGTCACCATTCCTATGACAAAATATTTAAAGTATGAATGGTTATGTATTGGATGATGGAAACATTCATAATCTTTTCAGTAAAACCTACTTAAGTTGCCACATTCAAGAACTATTTATTTTCTTCCAATAATATATCACTTCACTCAGACAATCTTCCTTTCATATTGTGACTTTGTATTTTCTCCATCACAAAAACAAACGAATGCCAAAGGTATGGTGCATTAGGCTGAAGATACAAATCTGTTGTTATGAAGCTGTCAACCAGGACATAAAGTTGACCACTTCCATCTAGTGGCAGCGTTAATGCATGGAGCTGTATCACTACCACCTACCATTTCTGTTTTTAGACATGCTATGTTGGAAACTGAAGGTAATGTACATCTCTCCTACACATATAAAGTAACCAGAATTCTACAGAACTGTAAATACTGTTGTTACATGATAACATAATACAGACAGAAGTGTGGACTTTTAAAAGATATGATGTTAATAGAGGAAATTGTGTTTTGTAAAGTGCACACAAAACCTGATTAGAAATAGCACACACTTGTTTATCACATTTTTTCCTTCAAAATAAACCTCCTCTGTAGAGAAAATCAGTCTTCATAGGCATGTATTTGTTATTCATTACATATATATACCCCTTTATTGCAGTTACTTTATCAAAATTCCTCTCTTTAAAAAATAGTATAATGGTTTTTTATTTGTAGTATCTGAACATAATAATAATTTATGAAGACCTGAAGGTATTTTTGCCATAAGTGAGTTTGAATAATGTGATAAATGATTAGTCTTCATTTACTGCTTGCTTAATACAGGCATTGATTAAGTGCAGGTTCCCTGTTATACCATACAAACATCTTTTATGCTTAGTCCATCACGTGACAATTAAAAGAACAGTGATATATACTAACATAACCTTCTATGCATCGTAATTCGTATGATATTTTATCAACTTTCTTACAGCTGAATTACTGTATCTATTTGATCAGTATGTGAATTGTTTCAGGAAGCAAGTGTAGATCCAGGCCCTCCAGTGCTGGTTGAATGTGTACTGTCTGACACACAGGGAGCAGGTGGTGAACAAAGTAAGTTTTTGTACATGTTCACATTTAATTGATACCAAAGAGGTGAGGTAGGACTGAGATGGGAGAACCAAGTGCTAGACATTAGAAAGGACATCTGGGTACGTAAACATCGTTATATAATGTAAGAAAGGTGTGAAGGTAAGTTTCCACACATTGTGAGATTAGACGGAAAATGGTCAACTTCATGCTCTGACTGCCTTTCCCTCTGGGATAGCACTCCCATTGCTTATTGCTATGCTGTTAGTTGGTCCTTTGGGTGGTTCTATTCATGTCTGCAAAGGAAAAATATGATTTCTAGTACACAGGTCATTGCCTTGACAATTGAATTATCATCACTGGTTATGAGACTGAAAACTAGTTGAACTTTCATACATATGAAAGAGTATGTTTTAAATTTAACTTCATAAATAAAATGTGTTTTATAAATGATTTAGGACACAAACCTCCATCTGAATGATCTCTGTAATCTAGTTTCCAGCACAGCAGCAAAACCATGTTATCTACAAATTTCAGTAGCTGATAGAAAGTTGCTAATATCACATATGCTCCTAGGCTGCTGTCATAGTTGAATTTACTTTTGTACCTCTGTTAGCATTGTAGACTTTTAGTTTTCTCATACTCTTTGTCCTTTATATTTTTTATTTCCTTCCATTTATGTTGTTTCTGAATTTGTCAAATTATCCCTAGTTTCCTTGTGTTTGTTACTCTTAGACTGTGTAAGTAAAAAACAACTGTCATTGGCACAGTTTAGAATTGTTCCTTGTATTCTGTTGCAGTAACATTCTGAAGTAAAAGTCTCTGCTGTCCTCATCCAGACATGTTAGCATTAAAACAAGTGATTCATGCAGTACTTCTAAGAAGCTTTGGTTAAGCAGCTTTCAGGTCATCACTGCTGTATGGAAATCATTTGTAGGAACAATTAAATAGATATTTTAACTTTTAAAATTAGTAAAATGTTATGGTTGTAATAATAAATTGAACTTAAAAGCTTGTTTGTCACAGTAAAGTCGCCTCAGCATTTGGCCATGTGCATCCTGTATACAGTTTAGGTTTAAAAGTAAACTATGCCTGAGTAGGTTGAGACTCATCCTTATTCTACCAGGATAGTGTGCTAAAGTGTAACATCAGTAGCATCAAAATAGCCAGGCTTTGTAGACAGCTTATTTAAAATGGTTTTTAAATATACAAAGTCATATACGTAAAATTCAATTCAACAGTGTAATGTAATGAAAATGACTAAAAATATCAACATAACAATAATAACATAGTCAGGGCTTGACAATGGCATTAGGAATAAAAAATATAAATTCTGTAAAGTTTCTTTGTATACTACCAGGATGAACTTAAAGTAAGTAGGTCCAAGTAGGGGGATGTTTCTAGTACCAGAAATAAAAACTTAAACCAGAGACAATGATAACATAAAGAGGTAATGGATTATGTCATGTAACTAACTACATGTGTTGGGAGGTTTTATGATAAAATAGGGAACCATGAATTTACTTTCAAAATTTTGCTGGAGAGTTGATCTACACTTTTTCAGCTATCTTAAATAGGTTGCCAGCTTTCGTTACATTAATTTTTTATTTTAATGATCTTAACTTTAGTTTTTACTCCATTTTGGACTTATTGCAGATGCTGATGCCTGAATGGAAATTGTAAGGTGATAGATAACAGCTGACACTTTTCAGGCAAGTTACACAGTTACTGGCACCATTTCTTCTCTTTTTAACATTTGTCAACTCTTCAGATTTCATATTTAAGAATCAAAATAGATTGTGTTATAATTCTGAATATAACTTACCTCCTTGAATTTAATGATGCATTTCTGGTTTTATATGTGAGCAGCTCATATCAAGATACAAATTAATGTCATTGTTAGATATATTTAGATTTTGGGTTCTTGCAGTGCTGAGTATGGAGATGCCAACCTTCTGATTGTGCCGTATAGTCTTGTAGAAGTTGACCTTTATGAGACTACATGGTGCAGTGTCCCATAAGGTTGTCATCTTCACATTTAAGGTCATCATATATTAAATTCCTTTAAGAGATTAATAGTGTTAAAAGCTGTCTATAACCATCTGAGACATCTATTGTTCCTAATCATGGACCATAATTTTAAAAATTGCATTGCTCTAGTGGTCTGTTGAGAAAAATATTTTCAGCAGTTAAAAATTTTAAATAAGAAATAATGGAGTGCTGGGTAGGCCAAAGATCCACATTGTGAGCATTTTAACTAGAAGTGATAAGTGCTCTATCACACATGGACTTTGTAGAAGTTTAACTTAGGCCGTGTGAAGTGTGTCAAGTATTAGTTTTGTATTATTAGTTGTTTCTAGTCCCCATGCATGCGGGTCATTTTCTTCCATGTCCAATGTGACTGATGTTCCAATTATTTATAACAGCAAAGATGCTGGAATTGTTACTCTATGACCCTTTTATTTAGTATTATTGGTAAAGTTACACAAACATCAAATATTCTCTTCTCCTCTCCTCTCCTTTTGACTGTATGAATATGTATACATTCATAATTCATGCACAAATAATGTAAAAGTCAGATTTTGCAGAAAAGTGTTTGATAAATGTTGAAGGAGTAACTCTGTTAAGGTAAATGTTTTCAGTCTGCATGTACTGAGTTTGCACCAATATGGATATTGAGGTAATTTTATTCATTGCCATGTCCAGAACAGTTGTAGTTCTAACTTGTCTTCTGCCAAACAGATATTGAGACATTTCTT